CTCCGCGGTCCCTGTTCCAATAACACATTGGACTGTAGTTTTGTACAAACACTTAAATCAGGATTGTGCTAGGATTGCGTTAGCTAAATTATAGCTGAGATGGTGCTGGAACAAATACACTATTTCTTCAAATAAAAAAAAAATTGAAAATAGGTAATGACTTATTAATTTTCATGTTGGGAATGGACTACAAAGGACAGATTTCGGGAGCATAATTTAAACTATATTGATCAACAGCTAATAAATGTGCCGCAGGGATCCCAAACCCAAGAAACTATAAAAGCAATTAACGGTTCTTCTGTGCCAGAGCGACCCCAAGCGGCAAACCCCAAAACCCACAAACCACAAAWACTTAGGGTGGTAAGCCTGTGGGACAAAGTTTGAGCGKTAGTTTTGAAAACGTAGAAAAGACCAAGCTACCAAGTCATGTTGAACAYTTTAAATTTAAATAGTGATGGAAAGATGGGGCGAGTTTGTATTACAGTGCATTATGGGCTATTTTTATGAGACATGATTCCAAGATGCCGTCTATTTAGTAACTAAAACAGCCCCACAATGCACTGCAAAGCCAGATTGACTCAATTTTTTTTCTCAACCTCGGATTTAATACTAAAAAGAAGGGGTGGGGTAAAACTTTTCATGTCCTGCCCATAGTTGTGTTCTTCGTAAGAGCTTTTGTTTATTCTTTACTCAGTTTTCATATGTTTCATTTGTTCATATGTCGAGCCGCTCCTTGGACATCGGAGCAAAAGGAGCGTACCTTTCGGTTACATTTGGTACCCAGGACATGCCATATATGATTTACGACAGGCAAAATGAACAAAAGATGTTTGTACCAAATCCAGAGCATATTACAACATGATAAAACAGAGACTTTACGGTTTTCATGCGTTTAAATTATTTATGTAAAACATACACAATGTTTGTCTATTAATCATTGCCAAGATGTAAGAAAGCTGAACTGGAGTCTTTTTGTTTTGCTTCGAATTCGTTCTCTTCAAGATGTGAGAAATTTGTGATAAGCGGGAAAATATCACTAGTAAAAATAATATAGAGCCGATAGTTTCCAATGATCGAGTTTTTCTTTTTCTTTTTTTCTTCTGTTGAATTATCAATCTTTAACTACTAAATGATATTATTTTACAAAAATAAGTTGGTTTACTTTTAACTACAAAGATAACCATTGAATTATTTACCCAACTTTCACTTGAATCTGAGTTCTTAGCACCAAAGTTAATTAACTTCAGCTTTGTTTTCCGGRTAATGATATTAATAATTATTGGTTTTGGGTTGAAAACAAGACGACATATGGATTCTAGCTAGTTCTGATTTGCACTCCGTGTTTCTAATTTAATTTGACTTAGGTTAATATTATCCCCTATAATTGGAATATGTTTAGAAGTAGTCGTGTAAATCAAACATCTTTTTCTAAGAGAACTTCGGTTTTGCCCAGCAACCATTTTCATTTGCCTTCAATAGAAATAGAAACGTGAATAAGACACCAGTAAAGTGTTTACTAGAAATGCGTAGATGTCCATGAATAAATCATTAATAGCAGCTGTTGAAAACATCCACTTTCAAAATGTTAGCTAAATCTTTTATGGCTAACGTCTAGTCGAGATGAAATGATAAACAAAATCTTTGAAATCTTGAACATGATTGAATTCAAAACTTAACTACTGATATCAGCAGTTTGATAGTCTTTTTTCAGTAGAGTCTCCTACTTTTTTTCGTAGTCAGTGTGTGCACCTACGCTTTTATTCCTTTGTTGTTTTGCTTATYTTCCAAAACCTTTAGTAAGGCAGGTCAAATTCTAAATTAGCATAATAGTAGGAATAAAGTGATAAAGCTTGCAGTCATAATATTTACAATCTGTCGCTGTTGTTTCTCATTTCTCAGGATTGATTTGAAAACCTTGAACGAAAATTGGATTTAATGTCATAAAATGAATGACATACACGTAGAAAAACTTCGGCACGCGAGCTAGTCATGCATGAAACATACGTTGCATCTCGACCCGAATAACGGATCCAATATAACGTGTGGTGTATGTAGTATATGGCCATTGTTTTGCAAATAGTCTGCGAGAAGTCATTCGTATGCTAAATAGGCAATGGCTATGAGGCTTTCATAGCGTAAACTTTTGTGTTGTTTAAACAAATGTCAAATCAGGTTCCACTCCCAAGGAGACCTGATATAAGGTTTTGATTGGTCAAGGGAACTTAAGGGTTTATTGCCTCGTGCCAGGTAAATCAACGCAGTTTCGTTTTGAGTCTGTAATGTGAGGTTCAAGTCTGGCTGAAGAAAGAACGACATCGTAATGTGGTTTYTCTTCAAGGATTCACACTTACGGATAACGTTTGTGTTAGGGTTTGTTCTGAGTGGAGTTTTCAGCGGAAACGATGACAGTGACATCGACGATGAGTGTATTTGGGAAGACAGGTGAGTACAGAATTTCGCTAGAACCGGACTTAACGCAGTAAACATTGCGTCGAAATAARTAATAAACCTCTCAGTTGATTTTAAAATCTCTTCAATCCTTAAAACATCGGAGTAGCAAAAGTCACGAAAGGATTTTGAAACTAAATCAATGCAACAGAAATATTATTCGCTAAATCCGTGCTGAGATTGGATCTGTGTTTTCAACTTTTCTTGCCCTGACTCTACTATGTTCATTGTACAAAAAGCAATACGCACTTCAGCTCCTTTTCAGCAAAGTGAAGAATCTCATTTWAAAAAAACAAGGAGAGAAATTTTTTTCATTTCTAAATCTTCACATTCATAACATTTCGAATATCTATTAACATCTGTTACGATTTCACTTAGTTTGTTAGCCACCTTATCTTTCAAATCTTTAGGTCCTAATTTTAATAGCGCTGACCTCTTACAAGTCCGTTCCATCAGCATCGATGCTAACTACAATTAGATTTAAAAAATTTGGTCTTAGAAAAATTGCTTCGTATCAATCTTTTTAAATCCGTGCACCTGAAATAACCGCCAACCGACCGGCAGCACACGTGTTGTAAATCTTTACGGTCCATCTATGTGCTGTATCGTTTTTTACTAGGGCACGTGTGCAGGTCTTTGTCCAAGGCGAATTCATTGTTTTCATTTACCACAATAACTAAACAAAACCATATATTGAAATGCTTTTTCAAGTGTGCAACGTGTTCGAGCTTAAAAACACCACGTTCGTAAATGGACGCCATACTGACTTTTGCACTATAGCACTGTTGCCGAATTGCAGTGACTGGATTGTCGTTGGTTCTAATTTTGACGTCCATAGTAGACTATTCTGGTGGCCGATCATGCAAGAAATGAGGCAATCTATTCAGACTGTAAAGAAATGCTTTATTAACTGATTGCAAACACCAGAAAATCACGATAATTTAATGCAGTTAGTCCACGGGGTTCCCTTCTCTTTCAGAGTTAAACGAGAACGATTCCACGGCTACACGAACAGGAAAATCACTTAGTACCAATTCATTAAGCAGCTCTTAAAAAAATATAAAACGCTTTACTTAGTAAATCTTATAAGACGTTAAATACAAATAATATAGTAATACGCACTGAATTTTGAATTGAATGAAGGTTTGCTTTTGCAAGTGCGTTTTAATTTACAATAAAATGGAACAGCAGAGACCTTAGTTAACCTTATCGTTCGACAGACAACGACTAATGGTTTTCTGTGGCTTGAGATAGCAAGAAGTAAAGTTGTCTTTGATATCAAATGATTGAGAGAACGGTGATTTTGAACAGAGGTAAAACTTTTCGGATTTAAGTGCTTGATGACTTTAGTATTTAATTGAAATTTTTCATATCATAATGGAAAAGTACTTAGTAGATTTCTCAACAGATAAAACGTTATTGCTTCTGTATTCACAAAGCCTTATATCTTCTTAAGAGAATATATCTGTGAAATAAAACATTATCTAAGCTTGAAACCTAGCACATCTTTTACATTTGCTTATTATTTAAGTTGAAAAAATAATGAAATACTTCGTTAAAAAATTACAAAATAAAAGTCTGTGTTATTATAAATTTCAAGTATTTGGAGCAATAAGATGCAAATTTTTACTCATTAACTCATTTATGATTGATGTGTTTTCGCTTCACTGCGGAATTTTCATCCAGATAAATAGAAACGGTTTGTTTAATTTGAAAGGTTTTGTTGCTTGGCAGTTATCACGACTTGGCAAATATCACGACCAGATCAAACAAGTGTTTATTTTCAAAAATCGCAAACAACTTCGGGTCATGTGTATTTTGAAAAGACGAAACTACCTACGTCGATGACACATACATTAAATTAATATCCTAAAACAACGTTATGAATGGTGTGTGCCGTATCACACTTTCACAATTTTCCTTGTCCCTTGTCCATTTAAAAGATTCAAGTGCAAAAATTGAATTAATACACTTGAGAACCGTTTCCCTTTTTTGTTAAAAGTAACCAGCCACTTTTAAAAAAGTTTTTATCGTTACATTTAAGATGATAAATTCGTTAAGCAATCCTTTCTGTACACAGGAAAAGAATGATCGTTGAAAAAAAAAGTCGTCCCAATCTTTCCCGCCCTTCTCGATTTCGCCGRCCCCACTTTTTCATGGTGATCTCATAATAAATGAATACAGAAAAATAATTTTTCTCCTCTTAGAATAAAGGATTATTCAAGTGGGATAAAAATTGGTTCGAAGGCTAGGCTTTCAAACTTTGGACCATTTGTGCATAGTTTTCCGTTACCACATGGTAAAGGACACACGTATTCAATTCCATTGCACGCACATCTTGCTATCATCTTATTTGTAATGTCTGTCCATTAAAACACTGATTGTACTGCCAAATCAAGGTTTTTGATCATCCTCATATGACCTTAGTGCACACCTTTCTAATCCCAAGTTCATATTCAGTTTTTTCTTATAATAATACCACATGTTGTTGCACGTGGTTTATAAGTCAAAATTTTCACATGCTTTGCATCTAATTAACCCATCACTTTCGGTCAATGGCTTAGCCAGTTTTCCTCCCACAAAATCTCAAAACCCGAATACACTTTGCGTAAACCGCTACTTTTTAAATTAATTATTAACGTTTGATTTCATTCGTTACTGCTGACAAGAGAAAAAATTTGACCCAAAAAATATGAAAAGTAACTACCGAAGCTGATAGCTCAATTTATGTACAGCCATTTTACTGCAGTTTTCCATAGTCTACAAACTCGATAGCTGTGAGCTGCACCCTGAAATTTGATTTCGCTGGTGTCAATCAAAAACGATCAGTTAGGTTCTTGACTGGCGRMAGTAAAAAAACGACAATTTCACAATTATAWGGAAAACCGCAGTAAGCCATGCAAGTTAACTTGTGCACGTCAGTGACAAGTATGCTCCAGACTAATATATATTCTGAACTGATATTTGCCAAATAAATTTCATTTTGCGTTTCATTTGTTCAAAACATGTTTTTGGTTAACAAGGACGTGTGAAAACAACGCCCATTGGTTGACGTCACAGAAATCGTTTTTAACTAATATTCAACAAATTTGGACTATTTCACTGTGCTAAAACTATATCAGTTGGTTAACGCGTTTATRTGTAATTGAAGAAATGGTTGTGGAACTTTCGATACATGGAGAGGAGCTCAACTTTTATGACTCGTGCCAAATATCACGTGACAAATTTAACTCTGGYCTCATCCAGGAAGTAAGCCACTTCCGCTACCCATTGTCGCCATTAGCTATTCCGAGGTTAAGGGGGAAAAATGGGTCGAGTGTGTCTACTTCGTCCCCGAAAACAGTCCCACAATGCACTACAATTCCAACTCGACCCAGTTTTTCTTCATCCTCGGAATGGCTAATAGGTAGAGACAGTTCTTGATTAATAGAGACCTTTAGCATCGTGTTTACCGCTAACCGCTAGGAATCAGGCCCCGAAAAACGCTCGAAACACGGAGAAACACCCGGCATCAATGAAATTTAATATGGCCACTCTTCCAACGACAACCTCGTTATGACGCCTTGATAAATGTCTAAAATTTGAAGGAAAACGCCTGACGTCAAACTATAATTTGAGGTTTGCAAGGCTAGCAAGAACGTCTTGCTAAAGGTCTCTAATGTTGGCTTTTGAGTGCTAATAGTTTATGACGATGTTTCATCTTTCAACAGGAGTTTTCGTGGAGACAAACCACCCTCTGTATTGAATGCACGCACAGAATGCTCCAAAGGGAAAATCATTTGGCACTATCCTTACGGTGGTCTGCGCATGTCTTTCCATCCAGCACAAGTCAAAGGACCATTCAAGCTATGCTTCACGTTCACATCTCAAGATTCAGGAATAAGCGTATTCCAAGAGGGTTTAAAGGATTTGACACTATTAAAGGGAAGCAAGGGTCCAAAAACTCAGAAAAACATCTGCGTATCTTCTTCCAAAAAGGACATGGTTTTGTACATCGAAGCATCGGAGAAAGATGAACCCATGATGAACATGGATTTTTCCGTACTTCCTTTAAAGAAAAAACACCATCACAAGTCAAAAGGTTCTTCTTTTTAATTTTATGATGTTATGGTTTCCATGACAATAGAAAGACAGACAAGCGATTGCTGTCTGTTTCCCGACAGTGCCTYGGAAACACTTTTATGATTTGACATTCATCAACAACCAAACTTACTTTGTCGAGACGAAGATTTTGCACTGCAATCTATAATACCAGCGTAAAAATTGATTGCAGGATTGGCCACTCATTAGCGTTCTTCCATCGAGTTTTTGGTTCCCGCTTGCGTGCGCTWATTAACCAATCAGAGCGCGYGTTATATYTTGGCTCTTTTAAGTATTCTCGTAACTTTCTTTACAGAAGAAAACGGTGAAATTGTAAATTTAAAGTTATTATTTATCTATGATTAATCATCTATGATTACATCACTTTTAGCGTGCAGACCCTGTCGATATGATAAACTTATCAAGTTGATTTGCAAGAGTGACTTTGGTAAGTGAATCTTTATAGTAAGAGTCCATTCTAATGCGGATTTTTTCATGCACCAAACTTAATGGGGCAGGGAGGATGAATTGGAAACGCGATGTCAACAGCTGACCAAAAAAACGAAGGCTCCCACATTCTCAGGTGTTGGGAGTCGAAAATRTTTATTACTTTACTTGATCTGATTGTTATACTTTAGCATAGCAAATACTACTTGTACCAGAATCTCATAATTATTGAATAGAGAKTGGGTTTATGATAATATTTCATTTTAGCAAGCAAGAGGAAACTTGAATTTTTTTTTCAAAAACATGCGGCAGCTAGCCGCTATTCCCCCCCCTGAGGCTTGTACGTCACTGATAAACAAGCGTTTATAATTATTGCTAGTTAATTTATAATTTATTGAAAAACTGATTCTATTTCAGCGATTCGCGGCTACGTCAACTCATCATTTGTAATTCCCAACACACACTTCATCCAAGCCGATTTTATTGCTCAAGACCTCATTCAGCAAAAACATCACATCTTCTCCGAATCTTCCAAAGAACAAAAGTACAGCAGAGGCCTCGTCAGGCTGCCATCTGGGTGTTCTTGGGGAAAAGGAAAAAACAAACTACTCCTGATAACTGGGGATATCCAATCAGGGAAAGGCGCAGTGATGACGTGTTATACACGTGACAAGGAATGGCTGAAGCTAAAGAAAGACTATTTCAAGCATCTTTGCAATGTTTTTAAATAGATACATGTTTATATATATATATATATATTACTTGGTTACATTATAAATTAATTTATTTATTACGTAAAAAATAGTTGAATCAAATTCAAAATCTATTATATATCTTATTATATACATCATGCATGGTTTTCAGAGATCGAAATTCGATGCTCTTTATAAGTTTGATCATTATAGAAAATCTTTTGAGATCCATTCAAAATAGGTAGATTCGCAAAACCAATTTGGTTTCAACTTCTATTGCGAACCATGGCGGTGACGGTGCGGTGACGTCAATCGCATGGCAAAACGACTTCAACTGTAGACGAAAAGCGGTTCTATAAAGATTTTTCTTACATTTTCTTTATGACAAGATTTTTTGTTTAAAAATTAAAGCTCTAATTGTTCCTGGTGGAGATTAAATCGTTGAAAACATTTTCCGCTTTATTTTTGAGGTTTTATGGAGAGTTTGATCAAGGAAATACGTCACAGCTTAAAAGCTCTATAGTCAGAAAGGTATGCAACGAAAAAATCAGACCAGGCCGTCAGAAATGACTTGTTCAGTAGCATGCATCCTTTCCAAACAAAGTCTGTTAGGCAATAGGATATAGTTATAGTCCAGAGGAAGAAGCAGGGCTATCCCAAGTGTCTTTGCGAGCTTATTATTGTTTTCTTTGGTTTCAACCGGTTTATGTGCATCTTTTTCTAATGATACTTCTGCTACTACGAATACTAAGGTTTTCATTTAGCATTTCATGAAGACATGTTCGGCTAATTTTTCAAATAAAAGTAGTCATTTGCGTRTGGTGATATACACTCTACTCAATTATGATTGATGGAAAATATGTTGTATCTTACTCACAATGCATTATGGGATAGCCATGATCCTTCTCTAGGTAGTCCATCAACGTGAATACATTAATAATACCGTAAGGAATTAACATTTGTGTACAATGTACAAGATATTCTAGTACAAATAAGATGAAAAAGGGGGTTTGCCGGGCAGGTAGAGTTCCTATAAGGAGACTATTTACTACTAAATAGTGCAAAGTGTTGCACACTTTTAGTGTTTGTACTCTACTGAAGTAAAAAAACCTAGGTAAAAATTCTAGCTTAAACTCTAAATACTTATCAAAATATATTCTATTATCATTATTATCTCAATTAAAGCGTAGAAGTTTATATGATATTTAGGTTGAAAACTCAACTGTATTACATTTATATACAGCTATAATTTGAAAGACTGAACTGGCATAAAGACCCAGGCGTTGCTCCTGACGCATGCGAGCAAATGAACTGATGAAGAGCTGATGAACCTTTGAGTATAATTACTGAATATATTCAGAAGTTACAAGTAAAATAAAATTATTGGTAAACGAAAAGCATGACTACTGTTCACTGTGCATATTTCGAATTTGCTTCATAAGGCACTTGAAACTAAAAGTCCTACCCTGGAGCCCAGAGGTTATTTATTTATAGTCATTTTCCCTCCAGAATTTGTTGTTTTGACGGAAAATTTCACCAGCGAGCACGCGCGTTTTGGCGCCAAAATTCCCGCCTAATCCACAGGGTAGCCCAACAAAATAGCAACAAATGGCAAATTCACAGTTTTTACTTTTGGTGGAGGGGGATGGGTAGTCGGCTGTTTCTCCATCGCTACGCCCCGAGTCTAGTATACACCTACTCGGAGCGAAAACCTAGAAATGAAGAAGAGAAAATTTGTCAGTATTATCCCCTATAAAGCAACCCACTCTTTTCCGCGCATTCTTGGTAGTAAAACCTTTGTAATACTTACCCCCTCCCCCCTCATAAAATTTCTGGACCCGCCGCTATGACACCAATTCACTACCAGAATAGGTCTTTTGCAACAAAAAGTCATGTGCTGATATATGACTTTGATAATGAATCGATTTTAGCTAAAGGCCCCTTGGGGAAGGCTTTACTGGATGGCAAACAAACTTTAAACTGCTCCGTATCTTGAAATCAAAAGTATCTTATGAGGGGAAAAAAGTATTTTTGAAAAGGTTTTGGATACAACTTTACATATGGTATTCCAGCAAATAATCTTTAAATAAAGGATCGAAAGTCCAATTTTGTTGCCATCTGCTTGTCAATCTATTGCAAATAACCTATTCTTCTTCAAATCCATTTTTCATATTAAAGCTGATCATTCCATAATTCGTAGTTTTCGCTCCTTTGTTGGGTCGTGGTCACAACTGAACTAGGGCAGTGTGTGAGCGATATTCTGAATCGACTAAAACAGCGAAAACACCGACTTATKGAAGCAGACCGGCTATTTCTTATTCAGAGGTAATTTACAGTTACGGTTCAATTCCTTCAAGTTTCCGGTTAAACGTTAACCGAATGAGAAGCCATTTCCCCATCATTTTCCCGTTTTTATGGGTTTCCTGTGGTATTGGCGACTGTCAGCGCTACACTTACATTATTGAAAAATAATAAAAAATTGTGGAAAAAATTATTAATTAAACGTTTATTTAGAAAGTTTTATTAGTTTCAGAAGCGCGATATTAAGATTTCGTCACATATATTTTTGTTGCTTGTCACTTGCTTTTATTTCTTGCTTTTAAACTGGAATATTTTGACCGTGAGGGATTGAACCTCTACACAATTTTCCCGCCAAAAATGCATTTTCTAAAAAGCTGGAAGTCAGCTATTACTAAGAGGAGAAAATATTATAAAATCAATTGTAAATTTATATATAAGAATGGACTTTTGGTTCCCATCGATATCCAAGGTAAGTCGGCCAAATAAAAAGGCACTTTTACTATTAATTAGACTGTATAAAATGAAGGCTTTATAGATAGAAGGCCTCACGTGGACTCGAGCTGTAGGTAGAATTAATTTTATAAGGGATTCTCGTTCCCTTGGGGACCTAAATTTCCTTTAGATTTTCAAGTAGGAGTGGAGAAATGCCATGAAATATGTAATRTTCCGAGCTTTTAAACTCTTTTTGTCGTTGTCTCTTTGGTTGTTTCCTGCAAAGATGATATATTTTATGATTTAAGAACACACCAGCCCAGATACAACGCTTCTGATACTTACCAGATTCGAAATTTTTGGGGAGATTTAATTATTAATATTTATGTTAAGACTTTAAAATTCTGAGGAATAACATACTAGCAGCAACAATGATGATATACGCTATATTAAATGTCAAAAGAAATATTTCAAAAATTGAATCTTGAGGTTATCCCCTGGGGGTGAGGGCTTTGGTTTCTCAAGCTCTCACACAGCCCTTTAATCAAAACCAGCTTGTCGTGATAAACCCTTCAAGATCTCCAGGGGGTTAATCCTTTGCAGTACAGATTTTTATGGGATGGGATTTTAATTTGTGTATAAAATTTATGTTTTTAGGATAGGCTCGGAGACTTCTGTTATAAAGGAATCAATATATTGTACCTGTCCAGCAACAACACTGGGGTAACAAATTGAAAAGTGATTGCAAGCAAGTGAAGAACCCAGTGTTCTATATTGCCAGGAACCAGTGAACACATTCCAGAAAACATTATTAGAAAGGATAAATTCTATAAGATTTTCCTCATCATTACCAGAGCAACTTATTTCTAAAACAGAGAAGAGGGAAGCTTATCTGAAAGTATGCAGTCATCAGTCACAGTTTGCAGAAGTGCTCTCTCATCCATCTCATCAGCATCATCTACACTCTCATCACTCTCATCAGCACCTTTAACTGTCTCATCAGCATCATCTGTACTCTCATCACTATCATCAGCACCTATAACTGTCTCATCAGCGTCATCTACACTCTCATCACTATCGCCAGCACCTTTAACTGTCTCATCAGCATCATCTGTACTCTCATCACTATCACCAGCACCTTTAACTGTCTNCATCACTATCGCCAGCACCTTTAACTGTCTCATCAGCATCATCTGTACTCTCATCACTATCACCAGCACCTTTAACTGTCTCATCAGCATCATCTGTACTCTCATCACTATCTTCAACACCTTTAACTGTCCCAACACCAGAATCTCCACAATGCAAATTACAGCCATGTAGCTCTGATGGATTCCCAATTGTAAGTTCTGTCTTTTCATTACAAGGTGTTCAACCAACAGCCTTGGCAGCTACAGAATCAAACAGAACAATTCTAACTAGTCAACACTCAAAAAATGAGTCCAACTCAAGTGGAAAGAAAAGGATAGATGTAAAAAATACTGCTATCAAACCAATGCCTTTGTATGTTTCATCACTAAAGTTGCATGAAAGACAGCTATCTTCTTTTCATGAATGTACACTGTTGAAATTTGTAGAGAGAAAAGGAGGTTTCTTTAATGGAAAGCAGTTTACTACATCTGGGCTGAAAGGAATCTTCACCACTTTACAATCRTATAGACTTAAACTAACTTTTCAGGAGCTCACGAAAAAGTGTTACATTTTATTTGAGAAAAAGATGAAGAAGCTAGAGAGAAGTGAAATCAAAGTGTTTCTTGAAGTGCTGGACAGCTTCCTGTATCTTTTTGACTGGTAGGACTTGAACCCAGCTAGTTTGATTACACAATTTAGTCTTATAGTTAACAATATAAACATGGAACTTAGTTGATATACATATTTTATAATTTTTTTTGGTCCGGGGGGGGGGGGGGGGTACTACCTCCCCAACTTGGGTAGGGGTGTGCTGCCAGGACCTCAAAACCCTGACCCTATCCCAGACCTAAAATTTTGATTTTACGTACCCTACCCCAGACTAAAACTAAGAATTGTACACCCTATCCCAGACTAAGCCCNGTGCAAACCTCTTTCCTTATGTATGGTTTTGTTTGAACCAAAGCTAGACTATAATCAATCCAGTTTATCAAACTCAGAAAAGGTCGACGCAACTGCCCTGTGTTTCAAAAATCACTTAGTATTTTTGCACTTACCCTCAAGTCCTCAGGTGTTACCATGGTGACAAATTTTATAGCTTTCTCATCCCCAATCATTTCATAAGCCCAACGGCGAATAGAACGCATACATTTCACTGCTGCAATACCATTGTTTGCTATCAAAACCTGAAATATTAAAAAAGTGAATTATGAATTTTAGGCATGCATGTTATAAATTCATAAATTTTATAAATGAATGCCAATTTATCTGACACTGTACTGTAATAATTGAGACTATTAAATAGAAGGATCTCAGACCCGGGGGGGTACTACCTCCCCAACTTGGGTAGGGGTGTGCCGCCAGGACCTCTAAACCCTGACCCTATCCCAGACCTAAAATTTTGATTTTACGTACCCTACCCCAGACTAAAACTAAGAATTGTACACCCTATCCCAGACTAAGCCCGGTTAGTCAATAGATTGCAATCAATATTTGCTAACGTTTTTATTGTTTTTGTGCCGTCAGAAAGTGTAGTCTATTCGCCAGACAAAAACGACCAAATCGTAACCCTATCCCAGACAAAATGCCAAAAAAATGATACCCTACCCCAGACCCAAAAGCCGAAAAACCATACCCTATAGGGCGGCACATACCCGTATAGCAAATATAGGGGAGTACCCCCCCCCCCCCGCGTTTTTGGTCGCCCCCTCCCTCCGTCCTCAAAGATGCATAATTTGCCAATATAATTTAACCCTAAAAGTTGATCTGGGAGGGGAGGGGGAGGGTACTCCACCAGAATTTGGGTAGGGTGTTCTGCTGGGATTCTGAAAGGGGTACCCAGTGTTTATGACAAAAAAAATCAAATTTGTGGACGCTGTTCATGACAAAAGATATAATTAATTGCACTGAGTTCCTGTTTCAATTATCATGTCAGCTCACATTGTTTTTTTGACGACTATAATAACCAGTTTTGGTCAACACGAAAGTAGAATCCCTGATTATGACAGGAAACTCAGGAAGGAGTTGGAACTTGAGTGAAATTTCATACCCTGTTTATGGCAAGAAGCTTGAAAAACCATACACTGTTCAGCAGATCATCCCCGTATAGTCCATATATGACATCTGTTGTAATGATAATGATTTCAAGTAATTACTTTTGGAGTTTAGAATTCTTTTTTTWAAAAATTCCTTGCAGAAACACAATTCACATATTTGATAAATGATACCATTAGAGAATAATATAAAAAATGCTAACAAACTCATAGCTCTCTAATGAACGTCAAAGATACTAATTTCTTTTACTGTTTCATAGGTATTGTCACAAGACCTTGCCTGTAATCACTGTTGCTATGTGTGTCTACTTACCTAATGCGATTGACTATAGTTTTCATACCTGGCATGGGGTATGTCCAACAGGATGGTCAGAATACAGCTGTACTGTTATAATCAGAGAAGTGATACAGGTATTATGAGCAAATCAATTTTCRCTATTTAGTTTTTCTGAGTTCGATGGAAAACTGGGTTAAGTCGGCAT